GTATCCGTGGCAGTAGTAATTCACATAATTGCGGCAGCAGCAATGTTTGCATTTTGAAGTCTAACAACTTTCATGTAGTTTGAATGGCAAAAAAAAAAATGAAGCACGAGAAATGTGTTTAATTTCTTTTTACCAATAAAATAAGCGGTCGTGTCGAAATGGATACATGCGCCATTCCGTGGATATAATTTGTGGGCAAAGCAGCATCGCTCACAAGTTAGACGAAAGTTCTATTAAATGCGTTACAAAAACCGCAAGTTGAAATTTGCCAACACGGTGAAGCTCTGGGTTTCATCGAACACCATGAAATCAATGGGACTACAAAGAAACTTTCAAAATTTTGCCGTAATAGTGCCACTAGACATTTTATTCACGGAGATGTCCACAAATGTTTTATGTAGATAGAAAGTGTGATCTACTTCATAGAAACGCTGTTCCTATGCTAAAATTGGTCAAGCATCCCACGCCACTCAGGCTGTCAGTAATGTGCCGAATGCCTTCCTTGGCCACTACCATCGTGCCTCTTTATAAAGCTGCTTGCATCCTCAAACGCAAACAGTTTACGAAGTAATAGAATATGCTTAGAAATGCAACTGGAAAATAAAAGTAAGAATCAGCTAGTAAAGATCTTCCCGTACATTACTCAAAAGTTGCACAATAGAAATACCGCTATAATATCTTTGAAAAATTTGGTAAAGCTACTGATGTTAAGCAAACTTGCTATGTTCTTATTTTGCCAGAATCTTTCATACGGTCGAACGCAAGGATCAAAATAATGCCATATACAACATTCATAAGTGTGAAGTGATTTTGTTTGCGATTGCACCGGTAAGCTGTTCCAACTTGTCATTGTAATTGCCCAGATAACAATGTTGGTGGTTTCGCCACGATGCAGCACACAAATTACCAACAAAAGCTCCATTTCTGAATAAACACCGCTGATCAGATTGTTGCAGACAATGACCAAGGCGCGATAGTGGTGATTGAAGCAGACATGCTCATATATGTTTGTGGTGTAAGGACTGCATGTAGCTATCTTGTAACTTCTTCTATCTCATTATTTTGCCAATGCTATCGTAATACTCTAGATAACGTGATATACGCCACGTTTTATGCTGTTCATCCATTTTAAGGTTTTATTTGTTGAACCAGTGGTGTCTACGGCGAGTGTAAAGGAAGTCTCTCAGCCTTTTTGTATAAACGGTCTACCATCAACGCGCTGCACAACAGCTGACGATCAGGTTCAGGAACAGAAGCCTCCGCTGGTCCAGGGCGAAGAAGAAACTTCATCAGTTGAGGATGAAGAAGAATTCTTCACCGGCCAAGAACGACGAAAAAGCCTCCAAGATCAAGTCCAGAAAGATGGAAAAAGTCTTCGCCACGAGGCCACAGAAGTTAGCCATGCCTGAAGTTGCAGAAGACGGTATGGTCTGAAGAAGATCTTGACTGTCATGGTCGAGCAGATGCGCCTTCAACAGGGAAAAATGAAAGTGTAGCACGAAAATGAAGTCAATGTTTGCCATTCTTAGCCGCAGTCAAAGTGTCGTTCAGCCAGCAAATAGCAATATGATCAGCTGAGCAAGGATATGCAAAAGTTTGTCCCAGGCTCTGTTGCCAGCTAACATGAAGCGCGATCTGGTCCTCATAAAGATGGGTGAGGACGCTTATCGGAAGCATGCAGATGAGGCTCTTCCTCTGCAACCCCATGAGCTGAACTTCGACACAACGTCACGGATTCCCAGAAGCTGTTTGCCTTTAGGAAGAAATTGATAAGGAAAAGAAGCACCCTAAGGTCTCTTGTCTGCTGCTGACACCAAAGTACATGTCATTCCGAGAGTACGCTAACACCATCAAGCAAATGAACGAGGACGCTTGATTAAGATACTCGACTAAACGTCGATGAAAATACAATTTATTTCGGGATTAGTTGAAGTATGCGAAAGTCTTCAAGATCTTTAAGTGCGGACTGGGAAAATGGACAAGGAGCAAAGTGCAAAGCAATTTTTCTTGAGGGACAAGGCAGTTTCCGTCTTCCTGAAAAAGTGACCAGTTCTATACTGCCGGCAGAAAGCGATCGTTTGATTGCCGAGGGCGTGATTTCTGCGGTAGACGTAAAAGCGCTACCGTGACCAGAAGGGCGATTATAGAAGAGCTCAGAAAGATGAGACCATATTACAGCTCATAGGATGCAACAAGCAGGGGCATGGCCGCCCAAACCAAAAGACGAAATCAAGTGGGAGGCAGCGAGCCATAATCTTTCAAAACAATACGAATGTCTGTATTTCGGCCACAGAATAGTCATACCACATCGCTCCATAAGAGATTTTGAAGCAGTTGCATAAAGGACATTCGGGAATGACCAGGTAGAAGATGCCCGCGATAGATTTGCATACTAAATGTGCATCAACTCAAACATCAAAGAAACAGTGCGCCGCTGGAGGGAATGCTAGAGAGCCGCAAAAAGGAACTGAGGACAGTGAGCTTGTGGAAGATGGAAGAAACTTATGGAATCAGATTCACATTGACACGAAGCTGATGTAAAATTCCAAATCAGTTGCGAAAAAGGATAAAACAGACAAGATGAGGATGAACCTAACAAAACAACCACACCAACAACCTAGCTGAACAGACTAGGTTGTGCTAAACAGAGGAAAAGGGCATCAGAATCGATATTAGGATCTCTGGGTCGAAATTGATACGACATCTAAACTCCAATAACCTAATGACGTGCTGGATCAGAAAGATTGAAACAAAAAGAAAAACAAGAAAGACAACAGGGGGTTATGAATGGTCACTTCTCATCGAATGAATGGAACGAACTCTTTCCCTGTTTCAGTGTTATGGGGAAAAGTTCAAAGTATTACCTGGTTATGGTTATTATTAATCATAGCTATTAGTTTCTAAGAATTTGATTTATTCTCGAAAACCATTTAAACCGATAAAGAAATACTTTCCGAGACTGAAAGGCACACAATTATAACGACTGTTTTTAAAAATTACTTGAAGTACCGAGAAAAGCAAAAAAAGGCGTCTAACCCGCACTTTATCGAACCAAAGAACCTAGCTCCGATTTTTATGAATAAAGTTAGAGGGATAAAAATGCGCGAGAAATACGAAGAGTTTAGTTCTACGGCTATCATTAGAAAGCTTTCTAGTGGTAATGAGTTAACTTTACTCACTTAATTTTTTAAAGCTCTAAACTGATTTGCTCGCAGCTACGTCTTTACTGAGATGTGTAGAGACAAGCGCAAAACCAGAGATCAGTTGCCAGAGTTGTGGGAAAGAACTTTTTTCCTCGGACCTCCCCATCCAGCCAGCTGGCCTCTGTTGCCAGTTTCATCTAGCCAAAAAATCAAACGATC